TTAATTAATCTATTTCTGAAACATCCACCCATTTTGAGCCAGAATCTTTGGAATCACTTTGTGACATAGGGTGTAATGTCTGAGGTTTCCCACACAGGACAAGACTGAACCACTGAGAGAACTGATGATGGTGCAGCATGTTTTGCTTTTCTTTCTTTCTTTTCTTTTTCTTTCTTCTTTCTTTCTTTTTCTTTCTTTCTTTCTTTCTTTTTCTTTCTTTCTTTCTTCCTTCCTTCCTTCCTTCCTTTCTTCTTTCTTTCTTTCTTTTTCTTTCTTTCTTTCTTTTTCTTTCTCTTTCTTTCTTCTCTCTCTCTCTCTCTCTCTCTCTCTCTCNTCTCTCTCTCTCTCTCTCTCTCTCTCTCTCTCTCTCTCTCTCTCTCTCTCTCTCTCTCTTCTTTCTTCTTTCTTCCTTTTTCTTTTCTTTCTTCCTGCCTTCCTGCCTTCCTTCCTTTCCTTCCTTCTTTTTTTTTAATTTTTTTTAATTTAAGCTTATTGGGGGTGACAATTATTAGTAAAGTTACATAGGTTTCAGGTGTACACTTCTGAATAGAGTTTCTCTGCTGTTGTCATGGTTTTCTTCCAAGTTACTGACACTAGTTTTGTAAAATTTGATGCTGCCATATTCTTTATCTTACCAGGAGGTATATCAATGAAAGATTTCCAGGCAACCACCAGGGCTCTTATCCTCTACTCAAATGGTCCTGAAGTGGTTTGTTGACTGAAATGTCAAGAAGTTGTAGTTTTCCAGTCAAACCAATGCCTGCACATGCAAGCAAGGCAGCTTCATCATTACGGCCACAAGGCAGCACAGCTATAACAACATGTCATTGCTTAAAACATCCCAGTCTCAGAGATGAAAACATGTGAGTCTTAGAAGAGATGAAATACAGTATAGCAGACCAGGATAAAGTTCTCAGAGCTTTTTAAGAACAACTGTGCATTGGTAGGAAACTCAATATCCCTAGTTCCTCATCTTTCAGTGAAGGAATCAACGACTATATTTTAATTTTTGAGGTTGATCCATTTGTAAATAAAGCCCTAGGTTTGCTTTTAAAAATGTAAAAGTAACTACTAGTAATGAAACAAACTGGAAACTTAAGTGGAATAAACCTCAAATATTACAAAAAACACTCAGATTGGTTAAAAATACCAAACTAACATCAGATTTCTCAAAAAAGTTTTTACATAAAGGATGAGCCAAATTACACCTAAGAATAAAAACATGTAAATAACAATAGTACAGGTTTCATTTTCTAACCAAGTGTATGAAAACTACAAATGAAAAGTATGAATAAAAACCTTGATCACACTACCCTTGACTCAAAACAGAATAGCTAGATGATAATGATAATGCTATATTTTCATGTCTTTTGAGATTAACTTAAGCTGTACTTACTCCAAGAAATTTTTCTACTAACTATAAACATATTCATTAAAAAACAATAAATGCACTTCAAGTAGATAAGACTGATAAAGAACAAAACATAGTTTACATCATTACAATCTGCTCATTAACCTGTTTTAAAAAACCAGTAGAGAAACCATTCAAACACAAAATTTAAAATGAGAAAGAAAATATAGAACTATATTAACAGGAAATTAAAAGAATTATGAGAATGACTCATAAATTCCTATGCAAATAGATTAGAAAATCTGGATGGCTCATTTTTTAGCAAAATATAAATGACCCAGAGTGAACCAAGAAGAGAGGATGAAGAGGAAACAGGGAATGTTGTGTGGGAAAAAAACAAGTACTCCTCAAAAAAGTGCCAAGCCTAAGCAATTTTATTGGTGAGTTCTTTCAGAACTTTAGGGAACACATAAAGCTGACATTTTAAAAATCTCTCAGAGCACTGAGGCCAATGGGAGTTGGCTGCTTGAACCATATCACATCTGTATGAGATTGTTAGGGACATGGGTGGATAAATCCCAGCAGGGTTAAGTGCATTACAAGCAATGTCAGCAGGTTTCAGTTATCTTGGCAAAGACAGGATGGTGCTTGAAGCAAGTAAGGGCAGAAGTTCTGCAGGTCTGTTCCGGGATTTATTGTGAGTCTATCTGAGCAAAATATCACCTTCTCACTAAGTTCATATTTGAATTGAAAATTTATTGGTTTCACTTGCATTTCATTTGTAAATTTGTGTTGGTCTCCATGTAAAAAAGATAAAGCTTATACTTCATATTATGTTTGTATGTATTTAAATAACTGTCAAGTAGAAAAAAGGTCAACAGATCTGTGAGAATTTCTTTTTGTTCTTTTCAAGGAGGGCTATGTATTACTCAATTTCAGAAGGTCTGCTCTAGGCTTTAGAAAACAGCTCTTAATCCGTCGAGTTTGACTTTCTCTGCCTCTTCTTCTCCACGCTAGAATGGTACGTTTGTGGGGAAAATCGGGTCATAAGTAAAAGCGAAAGTTGCACAGGAGGCCCTAGGCTGTGATTTTTTGGGCCTGTTGGGCCTGTATAGGAGTAAAAGGAGGCTCTGCAGCTCCCAGGCAACAGGGCTTCCACAAAGGAAGTCAGAGGCAAAAAGCCTTAGTCATCAGCAGAGTGTGTGATTCCGCCCTGCGTGTCTCCTCTGCACATGGATCCTGAAAACCGATGGCACCAGGATGCAGCAGACCAGGGAGGGATTTGGGATCCTGGGCCTGAGCCATCTTTCCCTCTCTAACCAACAGCCACATCCTGCGTTCCCTCAAGCTTAGACACATTGCTGGATAGACCTTTGGTCCTGGGACCAATAACAGAACTGGAACCAGGTCACTGCAGGCCATACTTGTGGTCCAACCAAGCTATGAAGGGAACAGATTTAGTACATTAGTTGTAGGTCACAACTACTTAGAAGAGAATCTAAAAATAGGAAGGGACTTTAGAAATCATTTAGTCCAACTTCTATACCAAGGATGAAAGCTCTTCTAAAACATTCTGATGATATAATCTCTGCCTAAAAAATTCAGTGATAGAGAACTTACTGTTACTCTCTACTACTCTTCAGGAAGGCCTTTTCTACTGTTGAAAAGTATCATTTGTTAGGAAGAGTTTTTCTTATAAGGAAATAACCAGAACCCTGTGCCTTTCACTGCAGTTTGGTTCTTTAGAATAGGAAAGATGTACTACTTTTTCCACATGACAATCATTCTCTCCAGGTTATACGCTTGGCTGCAAGAGCATCTGAGATGATAGGATACGTATGGTTCCTTAGACCTCTCACCTTCCAGCTATTCTTCTTCTAAAACAGTAGTGCCCACAAAGTACTCCAGTGCACTCGTGTCAGAACTTAACCATTTTAGCTCTAGCACGCGCTTGCTTGCGCTCTCTTATTAACTGATAAGTTAACATAAGTAAGCCTTATTTTGGGCAACAAATGCTTTCTAAAAAGGAGGATGAAAAAAGTAATTGTCAATAAGAAAATCAAGCTTCATGAACTAGTAGAATCTGTTATTTAATGTAGGCAATAACTTTGCAAATAATATCGTAATTTTATCTGATTCATAAGACAAATGTTTTGTATGCTTTATTTCCTAAAAGTGAGGTCTTCCTATACCTGATTTTCCTTACCTTTAAAATTGCCATGATAATATAATCTTCCTGTTTTACAACTTTGATGGAGTGCCTGTGATAAGGTTAACAGTTTTGCTATTCTCCAAAGTCACGATCTATTGAGAGAGCAAGTTTTAAAAGTTGTTTGAGTTTCTGCCTCCTCCAGTTTTTGAAATTAGAAGTACTCCGCATCCCACCTCACATGACAGAGTGGCGACACAAGATATAGGTTTAATAATTATTTTATTTATAAATTTCCACCAACTCTTGCCAGTCACATTATTCTGCACATCACAGATGGATTACATAAGTTATTATCTTATGTTCACCTGTATGAAAATTAGGGGCAAGAGAAGAAATGACTCGATCACTCAAGAATACCACATTAAGGCTCACAATTAGTATACTACTCTGTAAACATACGGACCTATTAGCTAATGCCAACACTTGTCCTGTAACTATCCAGCGGCATGACCTTGGGCAAGTCACTTATGTTTTCTCATTTTTAAATTACCTATCACTTGATTTCTCCACCTCGGAGTCAATTGGCTGCATGCAAAAATACATTGAAAAATTCCATGCACTTAAAGTGTGAAATATTATCATTATAAAGTGCTTTATTTATTATTGGCCTTCTTCTTTTTAAAGTGATACTATTCATATTTCAGTAAAAGTCATTTGTTTGCAAAGTGACACTTTTATTTATTTATTTTTTATTATATATATATTTTTAGCTGAGCCATCCTGCCACCTGTTGGCAGCTCAACGGCAGCTCAGCTCAGGCCAGGAATCGAACCGCTGCTGCTCAGAGCTCACACTCTTGAGCAACTGAACCACTCGGCCGGCCCTCAAAGTGACCCTTTTAAAAAAGGAACACTTAGGCATTGGTCTTACTAAAAATCTGGTATGATTCAAAAGTCTGTATCTTAACTCTTAGGAACAGGATAAGCTATACAATTATTGTAAATTTTGTTTAATAGCTAATAAAAAAATGGCTTCTTCTTAGTTCTTCAAAATAAAATAATCCAAGAGAAATGAGGTTAATCTGAGGGGGAAAAAAACCCTACCATGGGTTAAATGATTTTAAATACAAGTGATAACTGCAGTGACTGGGAACCAACTTTCACCTAAATTGAAACTGATTTGTGTAGAAAAACATTGAAACATAATCACTAAAAATCAAATCCCCTTATGAATTTCTGAAAAGCAAAATTCTGAGATTTTGTTTCTGAAAAATTGCTTCTTCAGCAGAATATTTAGTAGAGATTACATTAACCTCAAATCAATGTTGTACCCAGATAGGATGGTCCTTCAAATTTTTTAGAGTCATGTTGCTTTTTAATTGGAAAATTTGTATCTTCAAGGCCTCAAAATTCAAGGGGCAACCGAGGTGATATTTATAATGAAAAGGGATGACTTTGGCACAGAGTAGAACGACATAATAATGAGTATCTGGCAAAATGATCTGTATTTGTATATTTATTGAGCACAGCTAACATGATTACTACAAAGTTTCTGGAACCTTGGATGACAGGGAAAATAATTTGTGAATATATCTTGTTGACTTATCAAGTACCGGGCCATTAATGCAGTCTCCTTACTATTACTCCTACATCAGTTCCTTAGACCTTTTTAGCCTTTGAGTACGCTAAGCCTTGGCTAGAACTGTTCAGAGAGTAGTTAGATATATGCTAAGAGTATTATGCTTTGGAAATGTTCTTCGTTCATCAAAGTGAACAGAGAAATATTACACATGCTGGAAATGTGAAAATAAGATTGTGAGGTCTGCCAACTATTTGGGTACCAATTAGAAAGTATCTTCATCTGACTCAATGGCACTCTTGGGTTTGGTAAGTCTTTCCAGTTCTTCTCCATCCTAAAAGGAAACATGAAATTACTATTAATTAAAACAAAACTAGAAATGTAAGCATAGCATTTTTAATGATTACCAAGGAGTAACCTTACTAACCATAGATTTTATTTCATTAAACTATAGATATAATCTAGTCAAATGAAATTAAACAAATACTTACATTCTGGGAAAGTTAATTTTAGATGTTTAATGACATGAAAAACTGAAATGCACCTCAGCACTTAAAAATGTCAGTTAACAACATGAGCAAAGTAAAGAGCACCCTCTGCTGGGTTTGAAGGGAAATGACTAAAAATCAGAGAAACACAAATTAGGCCTTGTTACCTAAATTGATATTCTTTTATCTAAAAAGTAGGGCAAGTAGTGTTATCAGACCACTGGAAAAGAATACAGGACTTTTGAATCTATACTCTGGCTGAGATCAGGGCATTTGGGACCCAAGCTTCTAATTTTTTCATCTTAAGAATCTGTTACATCACGACTTCAGAGGCATTATTACCAAGGGAAGCTCCACCATGAACGTTAACAAGAAACAGATGAATTTTCCCAAAGAATGAAATATTCATTGTGTAAAATACTTCATATTTTGCGAGTCCATAAAAATTTTAAATTTAAAGCTAGATAGAGGAATCTATTTCATCTTTTATTTATAACAAATACCAAACTCCTTGACTCTTCAAAAGATCATTATTAATTTGCTAATAACATGACTGACAGACCCTCCTAGAACAATAATAAACAACTGATGGAATAATACTTATGCAGATTAAGGACGTAAGTATTGCTTCCATAAAATATTTTTCTCGTGATATCCCTTTGAAAACCATCACCTTAGTGAGATAAACAATGCCTGCCCATCGGGCACCCTGTGGTTTATGAATAACTACAGGGAAAGTTTAAGAAGCCAGGCTTTAGACTTACATTTAATAAGACTTACTGATGTTGAAGATCAACTTTTCTTATGAATGAGGCTTATTTCCCCATCTACGGTGGAGTGGAAAGAGTAATGAACTAGGAGTCAGACCTCATGGGTTTAGTACCAGTTCTGTCACTTACTATCTGTAAACCGTCAGGCCTCTCTGAGTCCGTTTCCTTACTTGTAAAACTAGGGAGCCTGGACAAGCGAACCTGTGAGGCATCTTCCAGTTCAGTGACTCTAGAATGTTCTGATACAACAAGCGTATAATGTCCTTGAGGCTGTGATTTATACTTTCTCTGGAGCCCTGAAAGCATTACCAGGAACTCTTATGCACATAAGGAGCCCAATGAATGCTTGTTGAGTAATTTTTAAAAGTCACAAAGATCTGATACATCCTTTGATAAATTAGCAGTAATCTATTTCTTTTCTTGTATAACCATTCTTTAAATTGCAGAAGAACAAGCAAAAATCAGTATCCCTACAAACTTACCCCACTGGAGCGCTCCCAGAGACGGCCACTTAGATCTCGGGTCCTTTCTTGCCTGGGTATATATTCCAGATTTTTTGGCTTGCTGGCATTATATATAAATATGGAGAGAAGAACTGATGGGGCTTCTAAGAAGAACTCCAGGGAGGGCCTGAAGTCAAAGACCAGGACAGACACTGTTGTGATGATGACTGTGGTGACCTGGGCCATCAAGACATGGAACATGTTATCCAAGAACTTCAGAATAAAAGCCACTGAGAGGCCCTGCAATGCAGTTACAAAAATAAGGGCCACTGAAAACACATTGTGGCCATAAAAAAACCCGCAGTTCTTAATCTGATCACGGTTACTGCTCTGAAGGCCCAGAGTCAGCCCATTAAAAAGAATGCCAAAGAAATAGAGTTTGCTGTTCTGTATGAAGATGCTTTCAGTGAGCTGGTTCCCTTCCTTCAGTATCTTTTCGTTATAGATATTGGCCATTGAAGACGTAAAACACTGGGCTATAATAAGTACATGGCCCAAGCCAAGACGGATGTGGCTGAAAACCCTGGCTGTGGTGTTCCACTTAGCTTCAGAAAAAGTCCACTCCTTGGCTGTGCAATTGTCTTTTCTAGGGCACTGACTTCTGAAAAGCAGGCAGGAATTCGATGGGTTGAATAAGGCATCGTGATGAAATCCATGTCCTGCCAGGTTATGCTGTGAAGTTTCGGTCCCAGCAGTGAGGGACACGATAGACAAAAATAGAATCAGGAGGGAAGCCCACTGTATCCAGTTTAGATGCCTCCTATGCAAAGATGAAAAAAAGATTTTACCACTGGGTTTTTCCCCTTCCCATATCAACTGTTTCTACTGGAAACTCAGACACTTGAGTACTTGATTGAATAAACTGTGCCCAGTTTTTACTAGGATTCCCCACAATTCAATTTCAAAGGAAACCTGTTGGTGTCTCTGCTTCTTAAACTTGATACTTGCATTCACTTTTATAACTGCCCCTAAGGCCATTCAGTCATTTCTCCTCATTGTAAGTTTCCTTTTAGCCTATAGGTTTAACTAAGCCTCCTTTCCACCTCCATAGCTAATCTTTAACCTTTGAACAATTACTTTTTATCTCACTACAAAGAAAGTTACAGCAGAGATTCTCAACCTGGTTTCCATGAACCAGAATGTAATAAACTTCAGATATCTGTGAATCCTTGCAGTGTGTGCCAAATATTTATATAGGTGAATTCTCAGCCCTCCCTCCATCCCCAGGAGACTTCTCAAAGCTCTGTCAAATTTCAAACATGACCCAAAAAAGATTTAAAGAGGAAACTAGCTCCCAGATCCATGACCTAATCATAAAGTATTTTACAGCAAACTACTGTTTGATAAGGCAAAGGAAAAAAATATTTTAAGGTTTCATTTTACAGTCCTAACAATGCTTTATTTAATTATGTTGCCTAGCAACAAACTTGCGAGATATAGAAGACATGCATTATTATTATTCCATTTTGTAGAATCACAGTTCAACAGACATTTAATAAGCAGCTATTATGTGCTAAGCATGCTGGGGAGACAAAGACTTGATCTCCATTCCCATGGAATTTATACTTTAAAAGGGAGAGAGCCATGAAACTAAATGATGACAATATAACGTGTGACAAGTGATCCATGGAACATTGGGGTACCCTGAGGAACACTTGAGTCTACAAACAGAGTCAGGTATTGCTTCAAAGAAGAAATGACATGAGCTGAAAGGTGAAAAATAAACTGATGTTTGCCATGTGCCAAGTGAGTTGGTGATATATCCTGGTAGAGACTAGAGTCTATGCAAAGGCAGGAAGAATGTACAGTGTTGACTAAGGAAAGAGGAGTAGCTGACTCAAGATGGAGGAGACAGGGAGGCCTCTGGGGGGAACAACATCTTCAAGTTTGATGAAGAGAGGGACACCAGAGGGAAAGGAGGAGAGATTAACATAAATGGAGGCAGAAGTGTAAAGAAACAGGTAAGAACTCAAAGTCAGAAGAATTTTGGAGCATTTACTGAGCACCTACGATGGGTCAAGCAATTCCTATTCTAGGGGAGGAAACAGTGTTCTGAGAAGTTAACTGACTTCCCTAGGGTCATGAATTTATGAAAGAACAAGAAAGGGATCTGAGCCATGGTTTTGTATATCTTCCTTCGGGACCAATACACCTCTTATAGTAATTTGGAGTTTCCAAGGTGTGTGTGCGTGTGTGTATCATGTGTCTGATTTCACCAATGCTTCCATAGAGCTTCATACTACAAAACTGCTAAATATACAGACCAGCCTAGACAGCAGGACACCTGTGTACTCTATCATATGTCTTCTCATGTACCGTATTTCCCCATGTATAAGACGCACCCTTTTCCGAAAAATTTGGGTCTAAAAACTGGGTGCGTCTTTACAGGGGTTGTAGATTTTTTTACTTGCATTTCCTGCTATTTTTGCGCTCATACAACCACTGTATACGATGCACCCAGTTTTTAGACCCCAAATTTTTCAAAACAGGGTGCGTCTTATACATGGGAAAATACGGTATATACTCTCCAATAACTGGATCTAGTACTTAATGACGGGGCTAGCATAGCATAGCCCTATGCCGTGAGTCCAGACACTGTGAACTAGTCACATACATTTCTGAAGGTGCAGGGGTACAGGTTAAGTGGTAGAAAGCAAATTGAATGGAAACAGAAAAGAGATGAAAAATGGGTGTCCAATTTATAAAAATCATTATATAACCGTTATTGTATATCAAGATAAATGAGGCAATGATCGATAGTCCCTTTATAAGTTTTGAATTCTAACAGCCATAGATATTCCACTAATACTGACATTGAGAAAATCGAATCTAAGGAAACAAAGCTTTAAACTAGCTACACAGTAACTACTGCAAATAATTACTCATTCAAGGTAATGTTCTTGGGAAGGTAAAAATTATTAAGGATTAGGTTGAAAATAGATTTTCAGCAAAGAAAATAAAGCTTAATAAATTACGCTGTAAAGTCAGCTGAGGATTTGTGCTCTTACAAATGATGGCTGATTGTGCATGGAAGAGTTTGTTCCTCAGTTTAGTGGATGCCACAGTAGAAACTCACTTAACTGATCTTTCCACAGCCTCAGGAAACTATTCAGATTGATGCTCAGAACTGAACCCTTGCAGCTAGCAGGCTATTCTACCTGAGGCCCTCTGCTCCCAAGTGAACTGTTTGCTTAGTCTCTGTTCTGAAACATGTTTTTGACAGGTGACCTCATTATTGTAATATATTTTAACAATTATGTAAATGATAAATTAGGAATGAAAGAAAAGGATTGCTGTCATTATGAAAATTCACTGCTTTAGGAAAATTAGTTAAAAGCAAATCACTCACAAGATAAAAAATTGCCTTCTAATTAGGTATAGGTGAGCTCATTTATAGATTAGGGAACGGATAATAAAAATCTAGAACAATCTCCTTTAAAAGTACTTTTTAGGACTTGCTCCATTTTAAAGAAACTGAAAACCAAAAATCACAAATGAAGTGTAATGAATGTAGGCTTAAGCAAGCAAGAAGCCAAAGACCTCTAATCGGCAAACCCTACACATGCTCAAAGGAAAGGCCTTACTTAGCTTTTCATAAAAAAAATGGACATGTACGTATCTTAAGTTAAACTGTTTGAAGTACATTTTTAAAAAAGGATTCCCCACTTTGAGTTTTCCTAGTAACTCTACAATTAGGTCCAAATTGTGTCAGATAAGAGCATCTCTACCATATTTGGAGGTAGTAAACCAAAGCAGAGCATGAAAATAATTAAGTGGAAAGACTTACATAACTTTTCAAGAAATGGTATGTAACACCTTTCTTAGTAGCACATAGAGAGCGATTGGGGAAGATTAATAATGAGAAATTATAAAAAGATCTGTCAAGTGAATGAATGATTTTGGAGAAATGCTTGTACTACTGAGTGGCACTTTTCATTTTTCTGCTGACACCTGTCATGTTTCAAAATGTGTTTAATTTTTCCCCCACAGCTCCTCTTTGAAGAAATGAGGGAAACATATTCTTTAGGTGTAAATAAGTGCTGGTCTTAGTTATCTTTTACCCCCAAATCTCAATGTTCAGGTTGATTATTTTTTCCTAAAGCTTAAGCAAACAAGATTACACAGCTTTGCAAAGCTTTAAAAGCAAACCAACAGGCTTTGAGGCTTAACACCTGCCACCAGTTTCCACTTGGATACAGTGTCAATACTCCAAAGAACAGATCTATATATTCACATGGGATTTCTCTAGAAAAGACAATAAGGCATTTGGACGGTGATATTTTTCCTTTTCCTACTTTCCAATTCTCCCAAGTAATTCTTGCATTAGTCTCTGGACTTATTTTTTCCTACCTGTGTAGCTTTATAGTCTTTACTTATATGGGAAGGATATTTGATGGCTCTGCTATAATATAGTAAATGAAAAATGCGTTATTTATGGCAAACAAATTAAGAATATATGATAAAACTCAAGCTGCTACTCTTAGGACAAAATTTTATTGCCTACGGTGGAAGAAAAAGTAGATTAAATAGGGGAAAACTGACAACATACACCACTAACAACAAAAAGATAAAAACAGAACATAGTTGATTTGAAAATGTACTAATACATAATACTTAAAAGTCATTCTTATAAAAGATGTTATTAGATTAATCATATTTTGGCTCTACTATTTAGACTAGCTTCAGTGCTGATTTGTGAATCAGTGAAATTAAGCTCCACTCTGGGAGATCAGTCAGTGCTTGTAGAAATAATAAAAATGGAGTAGGTTTACTGTTTCTTTAATGTAAGTAACTTCCAAGGAGTCACAAAGGAAATACTAACCACAAAGCAAACATATGTCTAAGAATCAACATTATTGCTCTGAATATTAAGAGGTAAATATGTGAAAAATTATTTTGAACTTTAGTTCATAACAATGTTAATTATTATTAAAAGTAGTAATAAAATTAGTATTATAATTAATAGTATTTAAAGTTTACAGTATAGATTTGGATTTGGTTACACAAAGAATTAACTTTCTTAATACAAATTGTTAAATGCTTAAAAATGTAACAGGGTCTCCTTTGCCCAAGGTGGTGGTGCTCTCTGGTGGGGCAGATCATTTCAAGTTGGTCCCTTTGCCTCCAGCCTTGTCCTCTCCTGACACTGCTCCTATGTAGTCAAAGGGAGCCACCCAAATGCTGCAAAATGCGCAGTGGTTCTGGGCTCCAAGCAGAGACTCAGCACGGGGCAAATCTATTGATGAATGGGGCAATAACTGCATCTGCCTCATGGGTCAATGTGGGGTTAAGTCAAAACAGGGCAGAAAGGCCCTCAGTGCAGCTCTTGGCCCTTAGTGTTTTCTTGTCACTGCCTGGCCCAGAACCTCACTTTGCCTACAGAGCAGTTTAACCGGCCCTGGGTAGGTAGGACCTTTCCAAGTGCCCCCTCCATCTTGGTCTCAGAACCACAGCCTATGTTCTCGAGTCAAACTACTGGCCAATTTCAAGTCAGGCAATACATACTTTGTATCTTCTCTTTGGCAAATTCAGTTTTAAATTGACGTAATTTTGACATAATACACAATGACATAATATATACTATGTATTATATAATAACAAGTATAATACCATGTGTACTCATACACTGTCATTTCACAGGAAAAAAAATTTCACTTACAAAAATCATGTTTTTGAGACCTTTGCTCCCTTATCAAAATGGTGAACCTTTACCAAATGTCAGTGCCAACATTTTTCCTTTGTGGCAGTGCATCTCCAACTTTACCATAGGAATCAATATAAAAATATTATTGCTTATATATATTTTTTCAGAAGCCAACTTTTTATCCTACCAAGTAAGTGACTTTCATGCTGATTTTAGACTTCAAAACATTTTTGGAATAGCATTCTTTAACTTGCTAGTTGAATTATTGGGTTGTCGGAAAAGTCATGACGTATTTTTTTCTATGTTTTTCGTTGCAAAAATGCATCATGATATTTCCAACAACCCAATATTTTCACAATTCATAAATGAAATGAAAAACATGATTTGAAAGCAAATTTCGGTATATTCTAACATTTAAACTGAATGACACGTAGTGTGCATTTTTTTCCCCCATCTCTTAAATCAACCATTAAATTGAATGTTTCCTCTGGGTAAAAGAAAATCTTTTAAGAACTCCCTTTAATTTATGTACTGAAGGCATCATGGAGTCAATGAATATTTACTGAGTGCCTACGAGCAAGGCATTCATCTTTCTGTATATATAAATGATGAAAGAACACGGTATGACATAGCACATTTAGAAACAAGAAATTAAAAAGAGAACGTGAGCGTAAAATTAAAAAATAACAATCACAACAAATATAACAGGAAGTTGATTTTATTTGAATCACCACCATCATCATCATTAAGTAACAAATCGAATTGGAGTTAGAGCCCACATCACGTATCGCCTTAGGATATTCTGGCCTTTGCAGTACAGCACAGCCTATTTACTTACAAATGTTTATTTTATTCAAAGGCCTTCCTGAAGATAGGAAAGACTGGTGATCACATTTTGAAAAGTTTAAAAATCTATCATTTTTTATTACTTGTAATTTTGATCTATTCCTCATGCAAATCCTCTGCCAGTTAGACCTTAAATCATGTACTCATCTCAAGTAGTTTAATAAAGAATTTGCCACTCTTTATCATCTCCAAACTCCAAATAACAAATGTGTATTAATCTTAGGGACGTCTTGGTTCCCTGTTAGTGTACAGGGATTCTGTAAGAAAAAAAATACCTCATGAATTCTTTGTTGAAAATCTAGCCTTAAAAATTAAAATAATTATAATCCAGTCAATCATCTGTTGTTTTTTTTTTTTTTTTGAGATGCTAAGAAAAAACATTTGAAGCATGGAATCACAGAAGATTTAGATAGGCTAGTGGTGGAGCTACTTTCCAGATGGGGTAAGCAATTCGCGATACACAAAGCCAATTAGGAATAAAATCCTGGCCTTGGGATTTGGAGGGTTCGGGGCTCTGGGTATATCACCTGAAACAAGGCTGTGCCATTTTCAAGTACGATATATGCTTTCACAACAAGTTACTTACTTCAGCACTATCCTGAATAGAAGAGCTGTTGTTATAATGCTAAAATTTGAGAAGATAACAGCCATGGCCTAGAAAGAAAGAGAAGATACAGTTACAATCCAAATAAAGTACTGACCTCAGAAATCTCTCAGCTTGGTGGTTCACCTGACAGAAAAAGCTTTTTGGTCAAAAACCAGAGGGGTTATTAGGGCAGCTACTTCACTAGAGGATTAAATTCCATTTTTATTGCTTGTTAAATTTATGCAGATATGATCAAATTATTGTACAGCTTTCAAAATCTGTTGAAATTCAGCAAATGCCTGTGTAAATAATCTGTATGTGCAGATTTGGAAAATACTCTTATAAACTCTAAAAGTTTAGGTCTGAAATAACAGTTATCATGCTTATAAAGCATACTATTTTAAGCTCTCAAAGTGCTTCAGACTTTTAATACTGTTTCCATGAGTAGAGAGAAGGCAGGCTCTGTTAGGCCCATGTATACATTAAGATAATTGAGATAGAGGTTTTTAATCATCCTTGCTGTTGTAGGAATTGAATCAATTTTCCTGGTTGAACTGTAGTGACTCAACACCACTGATTCACTGCCAAACTCATAATTGACAGACCTTTGGATTTATTATTCACATTGTTCTAAACACTTAGAAATGTTAGCCAGATTTTATAGACGTTTGCTTTTGTGAATTCAGTCATATTTCACATATCAAAGTATTAATCTGAACATGTACACATTTTGACCTAGAAAGTATGAAATTTCATTATTGCTCTCCATGATTGAATCTGATCATTTTAGTAAGTTTTAAAAACAAAACCTACTGATTTAGTTAACCCTGCCATCCTCCTTGTTGTCACTTTAAGATGATTAAACCCCAAAGAGTATCAACAGTCTTATATAACCAGCACACATGGCTAATATGTGGCAGAATTAAAGAAATAAGAGCAAGTTCAATAACAATTAGCAAAAATTCCAACAATATGATGTTGTTTTTCTATTGAATTTTGATGGGAACCACCAGTTTAAGGTTTTCTCAGTGTCCTTCTCTATAGATGAATGCTTGTGAACCACTAGTTAGGAGAAGAGTAAGAGACATGAGGAAATAAGTGGCTGGTAAGTGGTAATCATGGCAGTGCAAACGCACCCGACCAAGCGGCCTGGCTGGCCTGATGCCTTCTGAAAGCTCTCTACATGCAATAGTACAGAATAAACAAAACACGAGAGCTCTTTGCCCCCAAACTTCCATGCATATCTATTTAATTTTTTCCAACTAGACTTGGGCACAGCAATACACAGAATATGCCACGTCATTTATTTTGTAATATCTGTGGTTGTACACAACCAGGAAGGAAAAGCAAAGCAATAAGTTAGAAGAAAAACAGGAAGCTACAATCTTGCTTTGGCACTGGGGATGCAGGAAACAGATGTAAATCTGGAGCTAGTCCTTTCGATACAAATAGAACACAACAAATATATACTTATTGAAGGTGAATGATTATGTCCTTGGGTACAGGAACTCTCAGATCTAAAAAGCGAAGTGGAAGCAAGAATTTAGGAAAGGACACATTTTAGATGGACTGAACACTTACTAATAACACCAATCACAGAGATGAAAAGAACTTCAGGTGATCACCTGGCCCAGGGTCGTGCCTTTGAGCTGGTATGGTAACATCATTCCATTTTACAGATGGGCAACTGACTCTTAGAGCACTTGGGGCTTGTAGTTACACAGTGTCTAAATTGTGCAGAAGAATCAAACTCCTGTTTTCTACTACAGTGCTCTATTGATCCCTCTTTTTCGTCCCACTTACAAACTGATTTGGCTATATTTAAGAAGAGTAAGTGCCAATAAAAATACTATTTATAATCAAAATGCCTGAATTCTTTAAAAAAACCTAAAACGCATTTTGGCAACAATGGCAATAGAAATTTTCACTTTATAAAATATTAGGGGAAAAGATACACGTGACTCAAAGTGAGTAATAGGTAAGAGCAGAAGCCCAAATTTTAATTCTGATTACTACTGGCTCTCTACACTGGCATGGAGGATGCCAAGAGAGATGAGCTATATTCCTAGTAGTAATATCAGCTATAGGTAGCATTTAGAATTGGAAGGATACAATCTCTACTCTTAAAGTACGTGTTGGTTAAATGATCAAACAGATAAAGAAAACCATACAAATAGAATCCATATAAAGTACATTAAAGCAGGTATAAGAAAGAGCAGTGCACTGAGTGTATAATTTCTGAGTCTGCTTGGAGGTCCAGGATGTTGAGATTAATAAGAGAGGCTGGTGACCTTAGGATAGCTCAGAAAATAGGCAGATTAAGGTTATACAAAGAGAGATGACTCCAGATTCACTATGGGAGTTGCCAGGAAGCACCTCCCACAAAATAGTCAGCATAGTTTAATTCACACAGCAATCTTTAACAGTGAGAGAATCTCGCAAGCACATTGGTAAGTCAGTACTGAGATGGATCTGGTTAAACCTCAGGAAGGCCAGTGAGGGCAAGGAGAAATGAACAGTGCTAAGGAAAATGATTAAAAAAAAAAAAAAAAAGATTAGCTCTGAAATTCATTTCCCTGTGTTTTCCCAATGCTATTTTCTTTGTCATATTTACTTACAGGCTGAAGATAGGAAAGGACATAGAAGACAATCAAATTATCCAGGAAATAAAGAAAGGCTGGAATGGACCACTTCATGAAATTAGAGAATTCCCTCCAGGAAGCACATTTCAAGTTTCTACTTTGATGATCTTCTAAAGAAAGAAATACAGCAATAAATAAATGATCTTGATGAGGATGCCCACATTTTTAGAGACAGTAAATTGTATTTGATTTCTGACACAATTCTTTAAAAGAGGCTTTAGGAACTTTCTTTCATAAGTGACTATTAGCCTTAAGAAATCAAAGACAACACAGGATTTCATTATCGTCTTTCTTCCACCCACCAATGTGCCTCTGGCAATCAGCAACACTTTAGGATTAGTGATTCTCCTACATCCTGATAACTTGAGATAGAAGTATCACTTAAGGCAACTCAGGATACACTTACGGTTTCTTAGTAATCTGAGAGCATAAAGCCAAGAAAAATATCAACAAATTAAAATAAGAAAAAAAATCAAATGTTCATACTGGGATATTATTCCTCCGGGGGAGGGAGGGATCAGGGAAGGGAAATGCTAGGTGAAAATTTAAATATAGGGCAGGAGAAAATTAACTTTTATTAATCCTAGTATGAGTTACTGTTTCATTTCCAGAGTTCCAAAAACTTAAGGTACTATAAAGGAAAGAACATAAAATAAAATGAAAAGATAGAAAACAATTTAAAGCTTAAGCTCTGTGAACAACACATGAATTTCATGAGATTAAGAAACGTAGTCCACTAACTGGCAACTTTGTGCACATTGAAACCCTACAGTATGAAAAGACATCTTCTTGGACAAGGCCTTTAATACTCTAAATTCTATGTTTATCTCATGTGGGAAGGCAGATCAAAGTAGCAGAGAAAGCTAAGGCTCAGTAATTAGGAAACTAACGTGGAGAATTAGTACATATTAAGAGCCACAAAAGGCTAAGTACTTTAGATCTGAGGAACGATTAGTATACTTATTTGATAGCTGATGACACTGGAGCTCAGAAAAGTTAAAAAAAATCTGCCCCAGAATATAGTCTCTGACTCCACAATGCACTATGCTGCCTCCCTTGAAGGAAACAGAGACTGCTTCGCAATATGCTAGATAGTAAGTCAGGCAGGAATAATTTTAAAAATCCTGTATTTGAATTAAAACTAACTCGCTGGGTGACCCATCACAGGAACAAGCCACGAGGTAGAGCAATGGACAGGAAACTAGGAAATGTGGGTTGAGTCCTCGCTCTGACCCCTCCTACCCAGCATTGCATAACACTTTCTCTGAGCCGTTTCTCCACCTGCAAAACATGGGATAGTCATACTTATGCTTGCATTTTGGCATCCTCATATACAAAATAAGTGGGCTAGACTAAATGATATAAAATGTTCCTGCCAGTTCTAAAATTTTTTGATTCTGTAATTTTTAACAAGTATATAGTGTTATTTCAAGACTCACCTTTTTTTATAACCCAGAATGACACAAGCACACAGAAAACTAGCTTCACCAGTTCTGAGCAGACATTCACAGTAGTTGGAAGATAATCATATTTGTTATCTGAAATGTAACAAATGTTTTTTAATTATCAATTTTGTTTCATATAATGCTTATATATAGTTAATAAGTTAGAGTTGTTTTTATACTTAAAAGCTGGATTTTAATACTGGTTATATCAAACTTCATCCAGTTGGCTTTGCTCTTTTGGATTTTATAATCAATTCACCTAACATATTATCCATCCCTACCTCATTCAGCATTTTATTATCCTTGAACTTGATAAATATGCCTCTCATGTTTTCATCCAAGTTGCTAATAAATATGTTGAGCTGGCTAAGGATATTGGGCAATTAAAGCTTTGTGGCATGGCATCAGAGAATGCTTTCTCAATTGACCACTAATTAAGACTAAGGGCCTGTCTCCTCAAACAGCTATAGTTTACCTAGCTGTTATTGCTCAGCTCAGTTCCTCCAGTGTGACTTGTTAGCCTCACTAAAATCAAGGTACACTCTGTGATATTCCTCTCAGAGTTTTCCTATCTGTTTCATATCATGGCACACAGAGATAACAATATTTGTTTGGCATTCTGGGGCAAATGGTACATTAGGCTAAAAAAGAAGGAAGCTATGTGAGGCAAGAGGCAACTGGTCCAGGGCTCTGGCTACCTCTAGGGCTAAGGGAAAATTCTCTGACACATCCAAAAACCCACTGATGAGTTAGGAAGCTATGCCCTAACTTAAAAGTCAATCTAATAAGGACGTGAGGTTTGTTTAGTATGCCTTGGTCTTAGCTGTTACCTCTGACTTTTCAAACATCTTACAAACAGCTTGCTCTATTAATTTTGCCAAACACAAACATAAATTTCATTAGGTCCTATTTTGAAGAATGTATTTTCTCCCTTTTTGGAAACATTTGCTTATTCCTCTTGGTCATCATATTAAAAACCCAAACTGGTCAAGTACAGAGGAAAAACTCCAATTCAACATTCTTTCTCCCCAGAACACCCCTTTTCCTCTCTTCTGTGGTTTCCCCTGACCTTGTCAACCTAAGCATAATGAATTCTTTATTTATCTCTGATCCTGTAGCACCACCTATAAATTTCTCTAACAGTACTTGCCACATTGTATTATAGTTACTTTTTATGTGTGTCTCACCACTAGAATGTAAACTCCTTATGGAAAGGGACCATGTTAGTCATCTTCATATACATGGCAGTTAACCATGTTCTGCACTTAGTAGGTAGGCACTTAATAAATGTTAACCTGAATTTAGTTACTTGTCTGTTAAACTTTTCCATCATTCAAAGCCTAGTTAAAACATCTCCTCCACTCTTTTCTGAGCTCAAAGCTAGACTGAAATCACACTCTATTATCCTCCAATAATACTTTGCATTGATCCCTATCATGATACACAAGCGTGAACATGCACACACAGGAATGGGTGGGGCTGGAATCTTGGATTACAATTCTCAAACTCTTGTCACTGCTCTTTAACTCATATTTTACTTTTATTTTTTCTTGTATTTTTCTCATGGTTAATCCCAAACTATGTCTAAGCATCATGTGGAATGTCTCTCCATTCACCTTCTGCCCACACTCACATACATTATCTACATTACATCTATCCTTACTGGTTTCCCTTTAGTCCCAAAGAAAGGGGCCATGACCCCACTATTCACCCATCCTGCCCTTTAAAATCTTCCCTTCTCTTCAGGGACTTTGCTCTTCTAATAAGTAATTCCTCTGGCTTCCGTATATCCTTTATCTTTCTAATAACTGGCTTCCTCCTGTTGGCTTATACATATGCTCACCTCTCCCATCAGAAAAACAAAATGCTATATAAGATCCTACCCCTCCAACGACAATACTTTCTCCTTGTCTTCCTAAAAGAGTGTGAACATTCATTATTTCCATTTTGCCTACTTTCTATTCAGGTCTTGTCCCCAAACGGTCTTGTTTCTGACTCCAGCACTCTACTCAACCTACCTACTCTCTGAGATTACCATTTATCTTCTAATTACTAATTCCAAAGGGCATGTTTTAGTCCTTATTATGATATTGCACTTCCCTCTCAGTCTTCAAACTGGTTCCTTCCCTCCTATGAGTCCTGTACACTTAGTTATAGCTAACAATTCCTTCTTAACATCCTTCTAAGAGTCATCATGCCTGTTCAAGGTTGGCATTCCTCCGAGTTCTGTCCTTGACTCTATTTCCTCGTTTTGCATGCTTACCCTGAATGTGCCTTCTGCTCCTAGGGTTTTAAATGTCAATTTATTATTAATGTCTCCAGATCTGTACTCTGGAACATTTAATGCTCACTGAATATATGCGTATAAGTAACTACTCCTATTTATTCATTTAATTGGCATTTCCTTCACATGTGTGATATGCTAGACACTGCAGAGTATTGCAATGAACACGTACGCACACAGCTCCTGGCCTCCTGGAAGGTGCATAGCTAAAACTGCAATCTCTCTGAACTCTGTCCAACCTGCTCTTCCCCCTAATAGTCTCCACATCAGCTGAGAACATCATTGATCCACTTAGTACTCCAAACCAGAAAACTTTGAGCTATCCAATATTTCATCTCCTTTAATCTCCACATTCAATATATTCTCCAAGTCCTGTCTTTTCTCTTGAATCTATCTTCTTTTCTGTTCCTGCCATATTTTGTGTGTATGCGCTCCCGTGCATAATGCGCACCCACGTTTTTGGCCCAAACTTTCAGGGGAAAAAAATCTTTCGTTTTAATTTCTAAATTCACCTTTTTACTTGAAAATTATTTTATTTAAAAAATTATTAAAATTTTATTTTACATTTAGGTACTTGTTTTTTTGTATTATAAAGGAATTTTACCATTTATTTTTTAACGTATTATGGTACAAGAAATTTTATGTAAGAAATAATTACAAAACACAAGAACAGATACAAGGTACAAGACATTTTATGTATACCAGTAACAAATTTACGATATTTATGCATCATATTGTAGAAGGCCAAGAATTCTTTGTCATGCAAGTTCATCGTAAGTTCAACAAAACCCATTATTGTATTCCAGGGTATTATTTTGCATACAGATATTGTTATTGATTTCTAGAGTTACACTTTTAACTCGCAAGCATAAAAAAAGAATTTTAAAAACATTTATATAGACATGGAATTAGTACTACCCATGCATAATGCACATCCTTATTTTTCCCTCACAAATTTGAGCAAAAAAGTGTGCATTATACACAGCAAAATACGATACTTCCAAAGCTTTAGTTAGTCTTCATCATCTGTGGCTTGGATTTGCAATAACTCCCTAACTGGCTACCCTGCTTCCTCATCCGCTTTAGTCCATCCTCCATCCAGCTGCCATTAAGAGTCTTTCTAATTTTACCCTCCTGTCTATCATCCTTCAAGTATTCCTTATCCTCCATCCAGGGGCAAGATAATGAAGTCCAGATCCTTAGCATGGCATATGAAGTCCTTAACTATTTGATCATTATTTCCCCCTCTGGCCAAACATTCCTTCCCCTTCTCCTCTCAGTCCTTAAGCTTTTTGCTCAGTAATTCTGAACTACATGTTCTCACAATCCATCCTACTTTTTTATGCATCTGTTCATTTTTGCCACTGTCTCTGTTTTTAATATGCCTGACCCCCTGTAGTCTTGTGGATCAACTGTCATCTTATCAGAGAAGTGTTCCTTTATCCCTTTGCACTGCACGTCATCCTGTCCCACAGAAACTATACCACTTTCTATTCTAAACTATCTGCATCTTTGGTATAGACTGCCTTTATTATATTGTATTTACATGCATGTCTCTCCTAATAAACTGGAGAACAAGGTCTTGTTCTTGAGAACAAGGTCTATGTCTTATGCACTTTTTATCCTGCTAATACTTAGCTTAGTGCCTGGCAGATAAATGTTAACTGAAGCAGAGACTTATATACACATCTGACTTCCCAAGCAGATCATTAAAGATCATGATGTCATAATTTTATGTGTCCTCAATAACTAGTGAAAAGTTCTCAATTCAGTTTTGTGGAATTGAACTGTTTAAATACAATTTCTTAAATTAAAAAATAGAACATTTCTTGAGCACATATTTATGAAATCTAATAATCTGTACTGTCCCATTGGTACAGTAATTAAGAGTGTAAGTACCTCACCACAAATGCCAAATATATTCTTCTGCATATTTCAAAATAAGTTATAATTATACATATTACTACAGGCCTAGAAATACCTGTTGATTAAAGCAACAGTTAGATGTTTTGATCTGTTCTGTAAAGGGTTAAGTCCTGTACTTCACTGACCCAAATTTCACTCAGCGTGAAAAATGTTTCTTGCTAAGGAATGGAAAGCCAAAGAATCAAATTTAAACATTTGTTATCGTTCACATGAAGCAGAATACTTGAAAGGGTATTATCCCCATATTATACACAAGGAAACCAAAGATAGGAGAGATAATGTGTGATTAGACATAACTGCTCCATACATATTCCAAGTCTTAACTTGTTGTCTTACAGCTACCTCCACGACCCCCCTCCCCGCACTAACCCCTGACCTAATGAGGTCCTGAGAAGTGTCTCCAAAAGCTGAGGCCCGATGGAATGGTATCGGTCATCTCCCTTTATTTGTATAGTACATGGCAGAATGGCACTGTCCAGGGGTTTGTGTAGGATGTATGAAGGCATAGTACATGTTGGAGCACAATGGAAGCTGGTTAATGGAAAACAGCCTTAAGGCACGTAACACACAGATCTTTGAGTAAATTAGTTTCACTTCCTTTGAAATGTTCTCAATAAAAGCCATACGAAGACCCGATTCGGGGCTCAGTCCTCTAGGCTGATGCCCCTTGGTCTCGTTCTTATCTGACTTTTGTCTCTTGTGCTCTTTTCAATCTGCGTCGCCCCTCTCGTGTCCCACTTGCCCTTGCCACGCAGGACGTGACATTAACTTACCTTCATTGGTTGAATATTTTACCAATAGGATGCGACTTGAGCTTAAAGCAATGAATATGGCCCCTAGCAAGAACGTATACATTGTTGACAAGGAGCATAACATGGGATGACCACAGCACTTGCTTTCCATTCCGCTGTTTTCTAATTGCCTTAAAGAGAAGGATAAATTCATGAGCAACCCTGCTGGCAGAGTAAGCATAATGTAACTACCATTGACTTGTGAAAAACACAATTTGTTTAAATGTCTGGTTTTGGCTATTATCAAAACCAAGAAAGTTAGTTGAGGAGTACAAGAGAAGCTACCGAGAAAGGAAATGAAAGAGTCAAAAATTGACAGGAGGGGGAACTGTAATGACAGAAAAGGCAAGGGCCAGATTAGAAGTGCCGCCAAAGGTATCAAGTGAGTCACACTTTGGGGCTGTGGAATTCTTCAGAAAAGCAATTCTTTAATTTTCATTCCTACTAGCCACTTTGCTCTACAAAAAAAGAGAATTTCAGATTTTTCTCTTCTCAGTCAAAGCTCTTCCCTATAAGGAGGGAGAAGAGCTGGCTTGGAAAGATCTCATTAGGCTACTAATTTATACTAAACTAGTGACAGAAGAGAACTTACAAATCAATGACTCTAAGGCCCTCTTTTGATACGCTGAGGAGGGCAGTAAACTCTAGGCCGGGTAAGTAACTTGCCCGCAACCTCCCGGTGTAGGGAGAATGCACAGGACCTGGGGGATTGGTGACAGGCTTGAAACGCAAATACCGACAGCGTCACTGGGCGTAAAGCACAGTCACTAAACAGAGATACCTCTCCCACACTAGGAGTGCAGGTCTCCCACTACCACCAGGGAAAGCCTTTCTGTCACACATGCGCAATACGGCTCTCGTCTGGCGCGCCCACCCCTCATACGCACGCGCAGTTTAGTCCACGGGGCGCGGTTACCTCAGTCACTCCGAAGGGCTTCTAGTGGAAGAGCGTACATCCTAGAGCTAAATCAGTAACTATTTAGCTCCGCAGCAGCAGCAGCAGCTTTTAGGGCTCATTGACGGGGAAGCTATGGGAAGGAAAGATAGGCGAAAAAGCCCTTGCCCCCGAGCCTCCCATTCCGAAACAAAAAACACAATAACGAACCGACTGAGAAACAGCGGACCTGGCACCCATTGCGCAGGCGCGCTCAGTGTTACGCTTCCGGAGGGCGGGGAGAAGCGGCCTGATCCCGCCCCAGCGCAGCCGTTCTCGCGTCACGTGTCGGGAGAGTCCTGTGTCACGTGAAGCCCAGGTGGCGGAGGAGCTACGGCAAGAGAAGGAGAGAAGGAAGGGGAAACCGGAAGGGGTGCGAGTGAAGCAACCGGGAGAAGACAGCTCCCGAGGGCGAGGGGTGCGCGTGCGCCTGCTCTTACCCCTGACACATCCCTCGGCCCCGCCGCCCTCCCTCGCGGCCAGGTGACAGCTGGGCCCGAGCCGCCGCGCGCCGCCTGGGGCGCGAGGAGCGCGCTCCCTGCTCTCCCGCGCGGCGCCGGCCGCCCCTCCCCCTCGTCCCGTCCGTCCCGTCGCGTCGCGTCCCGTCCCGTCGAGTGCCGCCGGCCTGGTGCCGATGCGAGTCGGCGGCAGCAGGGACATTTTCTGACTCGTGGTCACTGTATCGGCTGCCCTTCCCATCCCGTCGCGGGGCCGGCCGCTACCCCGGCCCCAGAATGCAGAATGTGATAAACACAGTGAAGGGAAAGGCACTGGAAGTGGCTGAGTACCTGACCCCGGTCCTCAAGGTAAGCCGGGCCGGGCTGTCAGTCACACGCTCAAACTCTGCAGGGACCAAGGACCGGGCGCCGGGGGAGTCACCATGTTCTCCCGCGGGGAAAGGTGAAGGAAAGTAGAGTGGGACACAGGAAGAGGTGCGCCCCCGCCCATGATCTTATCCATCTGCTCTCGAGGGCTTTCCGGCTGTCGGGTAGACGTGGAGTGACGCTCCTCCGGGCGTACTCCTGTCGCCCCGCAGCCCGCCCCAGTGCAGCGCGTCTGGGTACGTCGGGGTGGAAGGTGGTCCGCAGCCAAGTAGATCTGAGAAAGTTAAATCCCAATTTCGGTAGTCCTTTGAACTTTTTAAACTGCTTGTCTTTAAAAAATGATATCAGTTTGGTACGAAAATGACATGTCGCTTTTTTCTTTCAAATTTCGTAGTAAACCTCTTCTAATTAGGAGTTTGAAATAGTAAGGTGTGACTGAAATAGTTAAGTTGTAACAATCCAACTTGTTAGATTGCAGAGGAACGAGGTGAAATTTGCAGCATTATTATTAGTACCTTTGAACCCACCTAACAGGCAAAACTTCCCTTCCCCGAGTTTTTAAAATAGCTGAGACTAGTTGTTAATCTTGGACTTAAGTGATTTATGTATGTAAAACGTTGGCGATAATACAGCATTTTTTTAAAGTAAAAAATTGTGACATTAACTATTATAGCAGTGACTGATAATCTTATTTTTAAAGATAGCTTTCTAGATGTGCATTAAAGTGTTTATTTTACAAATTTTTTAGAGTAAGTTTTTTGTTAACTTTATTTTTCCTTCCTGAAAACCATGCAGTGATAGTGAACGAAAACGGAGTTATTGCTTACTGTTTTTTTTTTAAAACTTTCAATTAAAATCTTGCAAATCTTAGTGCAGGGATGAAATATCCTTAGAAATGTTGGTCTTCTTTATTCAAGAAGTTATTCTGGTACACTATAAAGAATAGTGGACGGTTTTACTTTGCTCCCTTTCCATGACAAAGAGAAATGTTTGTACATTTTTATATTCATTTCTAAGACAGATTTTAAAATAAAATTTTGTTGGTCCAAGTTTTTAAAAAGTCGTGAAAGTTTATAAATGAGAATTTCAAGTCTTGCTATGCTTGTATTTGTTTACTGTGAAAACCATCTTCAGATCAGTCAGCTTTGAAAATAATTTTGACATTTGAATCAAATGATTGTTTTGCATATTATGTCATCTTTTCAGAAAACTGTCTGCCTAGGTATATAGCATTTAAATAATACGTGGTTGTTACAACTTTTTAGTTTTAGAGAAGAGAAGCAAGAGAGAAACACCTCCCAAATTAAAAATAAAAGTGCTGTTTTATTGGCCAATTGTATTTTATTGAACTTATAGAATTATGTGTTGAGAGATCATTTTACTTGTTCACTAAACTGACAAGGAAGTGTTAGCTTGTCAGTATGTATTTTTAATAATAAGGACCACAGAATTGATGATTCTCTGTTTGCCCCTCCCTATGCAAACTGTTGTTTATAGAGAGAATCCTTAGTTTCCTACCAGACGTGAGAAGGCAAGGAGAAAAAGCTAAATCCCTGGGGAAGAAATAAAGACTTCTCCCAGCAAGTAGAAATTAAGAAAAATCATGATTTGGAAGACATAGATACAGTAAAAGCCAAAGTCTTTACAGTAATCATTAAGCCTCTGCTTGATTGGTAGAGGTCCCTATCTCATCTACTACTCTATCCCTTGATCACTTTTGCTTAAGCCAGGCTGACCTATTTGTTACTCCATCAAGCACTCTCTTGTTTCAGGTTTTTGCATTTGCCCTTCCCTCTGCATGAAATGCTCTTCCCCCAGACAGCCTTGTGGCTGGATCCTATCCTAAGGTCTCTGCTCAAATAGTCACCTATCAGTGAAGTCTTTGTTTTCTTACCATTCTATTTTAAATAGCCATCTCCCTCCACCCCTGACCAGGTTCCTCTCTGCTTCATTTTTCTTCATGGTATTCATTACTATTTTGGCTTTTCACCCTCCACTAGAGTTTAAAGTTCTTATGAGGACAAAGATGAGTTTGCTCTATTTTATTCACTCCTATGTCCCTCATTAACTCAAACAGTGCCTGGCACATAGTAGTTATTCGGTAAATATTTGTTGAACGAATAATGTTCATTTATGAATCTATGCATTTTTTCAGACTCTACCAAAATCTTAGATATAACTTAAAAATTTAGAAAAACTTGGTAAATAACATTCTTGCTTTAGAGAAGGGAATATTTTATTAGTATCTTGGTGGAGATGAGAATAATGGGAAAGTATCAAATGATTTATGATATCTAGATTTGTTTTCTAATATTACTCAATTAAAATGAGATGGCTGAATTGTAAGATGTCTAAACAACTTTAAGACATTTTTACTGTTCTTTAAAATAAAGATATTCATCATTTCATAAAATCATTGTATTGTAATTATTTTCATGTCAGTTTCCTCCATCAGACTCATATATTCCTTGAGGTCAGGTACCAGTAATGTATTTTTTTTTTATTTTTATTAAATCTCTTCCATTGCTTAGAAGGGTACCAGGCAAATAGTTACCCACAAATATTTTAAAATTGAAAGTAAAATATAGTATAATACTGTTATTCTTTTTGCTCTCTTTAGGAATCAAAGTTTAAGGAAACAGGTGTTATCACCCCAGAAGAGGTAAGTGTTGAAGATATTCTGAAGCTATTATGTTTTGCAATTATATTAAATTAGGTGTCTTTTTTGCTTCTTAAGAAAAAAAACTTTAATCTTGATTTGAGTAAAAGTAGATTCTGTTGACTATATTAGCAGTTTTATAGGGATTTCTACTTCCCATAGAATAGAAATTGTAACTTCCCTCTCAGTTTGTCACTTCTCATATTTCTCTGTAGTTCCTCTTTATTAGAAGTGAGGGTATTAGAGGAAATGGAAAAGGTTCCTATGGTCACTTATCCTTCACTCATAGTTGTGTTATATATATATATATATATATATATATATATATATATATATATATATATATATATATATATATATATATATATAAGTTGTGCAGTGGGCTCTGGTGTTTGTTGTGTCCTGCCTTTGTCTCACAAAACATGAATTTTCATGGCTTTCTGTTTGGAAACTTTGACTCGCTGCTTGGTTATTAAGTTTTCTCTCAGTCTTTAGCTTAAATATTTTATTTATACATAACTTAACACTGATTTTTTTTCTCACCATTCTTTCACTTTTTATACCAACCAAGTAATGTTGAATCTGCTTAGTGCTGAAATTAGTGGCTATTTTGTAGGCCAGTTGAGTTTTATTGAACTTCTAATGTAGAATTATGTTTTGAGGAATAATTTTACTTGCTCACCAAATCTGTATAATAAAAGCATTCTCTTTCCTTTAGGTAGTTATCTTGTTATTCTTAGAGAAATAAATACTGGTCTAAAAATCCTTTTAGATTCCAGTTTTGTGAGTAGTTATGGTTGCATCAGACTTAGTAGTCAATAAAATACAACAAATTTATTAAGCTTCATCTTTAACTGTCATTAAAAGTACTACTTATTGGTCATAGAACTTTACTCATTGTTTTGAGAGAAACATTTTGAAGTGAGTCATGCTGTGTGATCTGACTATTGCTGTAAATTCCAAGACATCAAGCCAAAGAATGAACTGATCTTTTTCAGTTTTCCATTGTCATGGAATCTCTTCAGTCCCAAATCATTGTGAGTTTTAAGAATGGTGTGCTGAAGTGATCTTTTATGTAAATTGTCTTTATTTTTAGTGAAGACACATGGTGGTATGGAAAGAACCTAGGAGACCTGCCTTCTAGACCCATTTCTCTGATTTCTTCTATTTGGACTCAGGCAAATCAATTAAGCTATCTAGGCACAGGCCTCATGTTTCCTCATCTATAAAATGAGGGGTTTTGGCTAGACATTCTCTTGAAAGACCGATTCTACTTTAGGCATCATGAGTTTAATACCTATGAATGCCAAATAAAACTAAGTTTTGATCTCAAGGATCTTAATGTTTTATGTCAAACAAAGGTATAATACAGGTTTTGAAGGTAAGTATCTGAAATCAAAAGCAGGAATGAAAGTATGCTGCTCTCTTTGGGCTCTTTGGCTTTATCTCTACGTGAAGATGAATAATTAGTAAGTAGATGAAGTTAGAGATCCATATCTGTGGTCCTTGGATAGAATTTAGAAGTGAACTGTTTTAAAACAGCTACTAATCCTAGAATGAAAAACCATTACACTTAATTGTATCATGAAGTAGTTAACAAATTTTCCTCTTTTTAAAAATATACAAGGCATAACTAGCCCAGCTGGATCCCAACCACATAATGCTGGATTGGGATAGAGCACAATTACAAGATTGAGTTAGAGTAGAATGAGTTTAGAGGAGGAA